ATAAGGACTGTTTAAATGGCAAGTACTGTACAAAGTTTGCTGTGCTGGAGTAGTGGCATTTAGGATGCAACACTGGGTCACTTAAAAGAGAGCAATTCCACTGAACCAGGGAACTCATCTAAGAGCAAACAGATATGTTTATTTGTTTAAGAAATGTTAACAACATAAAAATCATACAGATATTGAAAGGAAATAGAGTAGAGAAAAATAGTGCATAGTGAGAAAAGAAAATAGAAAAAAGAGAAAAGGAAAAGGAAGAAAGAAAGAAAGAAAGAAAGAAAGAAAGAAAGAAAGAAAGAAAGAAAGAAAGAAGAAAAGAAAACATTGTACAAAACCATATATAACAAACCATACATGGACAAGACAAGAGAATCTGGTTAATGGAATGCTACTACAACAATAGACTTCATGAGAGGGAATATATGAAACGTATGAGGGAACAATGGATGGACAGAAGACCTACATCCACACTAACTGAGAAACAGCTAGTTAGCCAACGCTTGAATATAGTGACAAGGAAGCTGCTCTCACAACTTGAGATAGATCACATTACATCCTGGACTCAAGAAGACCCAGAAGAACAACTGGATGTGCAGCCAACGACCTGAAGCTAGAATGTCACTGCCACCAGAGTTCATTACAGAGCACAGCAGCTGATATGAGGCATAAGATCATGGATAAACTAGCTACAGTCAACCCTCAAGACTGATTACCAAGGCTCAGTGAAGAAGTACCATCAGATAGCGTGCTAGAAGATGCCAATAGAGCCCTCATGACAATCCCAACTACCACTATAATTCAAATCAATGAACTGGTATACACTACAGCTGCTGTAATCCTGGAGATGCTTGGCTACATGATCAAAAAGAACAGCAGTACATACCCCTCGCCCTGGAAAATGAGGTTGGAGGCTAAGATCAAGGCAACTCAGAGAGGAGTTAGTCAGCTGGTAGAACTACAGAAGGGTGTGGAGATTAAGGATAAGGTTCAACTACTGAAAAAATACAAGGACCTGACTCTGAAGCTCTAGAGACTGCTAAACAAAGGCTCACAACACTGGCTACCAGGCTAAGGAGATACGCTAGAGAAGCAGAGGCCAAGAAGATAAATACCCTGTTCTCCAAAGTACCATCCAAAGTGTACTCCCAACTTCAGGATAACAACACAGTAACAGCAGAGCCACCAACAGCAGAAACTGAACAGTACTGGAAGAACATGTGGGAGAAAGAGAAGACACTAACACCAGTACAAAGTGGCTGCAGGACCTGAGAGCAGACCACAGCAATCTCCCAGAACAGGAA